ATCTTGCTTCTCTATTAGTTAATAGTATTAAGTTAAGTGTTAATGTAGTACTACCTATTAGCCTACTTCCTGCATAGTTACTTGTTAACAACGGACCATTATTCTAAAGTGTTACCAAAAGTTTTTATGAAGTATTTTTACAGTTAAAACCAAACTGATTGCCTTAAAAAGACCAAGTAAGTGTTACTTCAGTGAATTAAGTGCTTCAACTGTCCAGTGAGCAATAACACACATGCATGTGCTAACATAACCAAACACACACACACAGAGGCGGACTTAACCATTAGGCACAGGTAGGCGACCGCCTTGGGCCCCCAAAAGCCAAGGGCCCCCTAAAATGCTTTTTATATGCGAGATGCGCGTTCAGTGCGGACGCACAAGTGGTTGCTGTGGTGTTCATTACCACGACAACCGTCTGTGCGTCCGCGTTGAACGTGCTTCTTAGCAAAAGTAGGGCGATGTAGAAAATGGGGAATCTATTCATAAAAACGGAATATACTGTGTAACGTGGAATGTGACGGAATGAACGGCGCAGGCGCACGTTTCGTTTGCTATTTAAGCACGAGCAACGCTCGCGGTTGTCGTCTGTAGTAGCTAAATAGTATTTTTTCCATTTAATATTCACATACACTAGTCCATATCGCGGTTTGATTGAAGTGTACTGAATTGCATTTGATTTATTCATTCAATATTCCGTGACATTGCTCGTTACACAGTAAACTTCTGTTGTGTAGCATTTTGAATGTACAAAGATTAAAGGGTTTGTTTAATTTTCATTGGAATAAAAGATAGATTCATGTTTTTGCCTTCATTTGATTACCAGAAAAATGAAAATACACAACACAGAATTTCTAAAAAATAAGTAAATAAAATTTAAATTTTATAGGGCCCTATTATTGTATACAAATTAATAAATTAAGTTGTTTTTATGAATTCAATTAATTAGATATGTTTTTGATTAAACCATTAAAATGGAATACAGAAAAATTAAAATAGAAAGTGCAGAATTTGGGCCCTAAGAATGTAATTTTTGTTAAACTTTTAATAGGCCTAAATTGCTGTTAAATTAAACAAGTTTCATGATTTTAATTAATTAGACATGTTTTTTGTTAAAATTTAATATAATCATCCAGAAAAATTAAGACGAAAAAAAAAAACTGAATACAAAAAAATTAAAACGAAAAAATTAAACTTAGGCTAATTTGGGAAAAATAAAACGGATTTCATAGGGTCCTACAAATATCATGCATCTGAAGCTATAATTTTAATACTAAGCAACAGTGCATATTATATAGGGCCTATTTAAATTTTTTTAAATGGTGCTCACTCGTTTTTGTGAAAGACCCAAGAAGGACCATGCACAGTCACTTTCCACGCGGGCACACTTCATGTTTGGTTGAAATAATCCTTAAGCATGTACATTTATAATTTCTTTCAGTTTAATTTAAATGTGCAATTAAAATAAATACAAAATAAATGTATAGTTTAAAGTTTAGAATTAGACAGCCTTGCGTTGTGTAGACAATTGCATAGTGAAAATTACCCCAACGCACCACCTAGTGTCCAACCTACTCTAATACTATTATAACCTGTTTAAATGTGAACAAGGGATTTACAACATTAAAGAAATCCTTTATTTATAACATGTACATGAAAAATCTAAAAGATTAGACACAACTATGGGACACGGTCGTGCAGCAGCGAGCAACAGTGAAAGCAACCTCAAGGTTGTAAATGTGTGAAATTGTATAGGGCCCCATTGCTGTATTTTGCCTGGGGCCCCCAAATCACTAAATCCGCCCCTGCACACACACACACACACACTTACTGCTAAATGGGAACTTTACAGTGGTTAAGTATTTTCCTTTGCTCTGAGATCTTAGAGGGGGTTGTGTGTCGGAAAGTTTTCAGTTCCGGTTTTCAAATGAAGGCAAGCACAAACAATAGAAAAGTGATGAACAGAACAGACAGATTACATTTTTACATTTAGTTTTTGTAATATGTTTTAATATGCAAAAGGAGTGGGTTTCACAGTTTTGATAAATAAAAAATCCAACAGCACAACACTGAAATATAGGAAAAAATATAGAACGGGATAACGTTTAAACGTCGTCAGAGTTGGTATTGTGGCTTTATCCGACACTTGCACTTAACATTAAATGGAGTTGTTTTTTGACCAGCGAATGACTGAGATCTGTTTTGTCTGTCATTAGAACGGCTGTATTCTGAGGCAGCAAGTGCATCGCATTAAACGCTTTAATCAACCTACAGGTTATAACTTTTATTGTAGCTATATGGGTGCTATAGTTTTTCTTGTCGTTTAATACACTTGGCCAAAATATCATGAAACGATGAAGCGCTATATGCACAGGATATTTAAAACGTACAAAAGTATATGGCTACAACTAGACGTCAAAAGCTAAGACTCTTCTCCTCTCTTCAAACACACAAAAACATTGACCTTTATAGACATAGTGTTTGAATAAACAAAACGCTGTACTTTTTCAAACATCACAGTTATTTATTTACCCTTACATTGCGAACAAGCGGAGGTCTGTCTCCAGGCTGTGCGTGGCGCGTCAATCTGAATGGAGGCGGGGTGAAGTTATGAGGTTTCACAGTTTGAGAATGGCGTTACAAGCTTTAGTGACAAGCTCTTTTAAATGCTTTTCATTGGAAATATGTGTAAAACCCTCAAACAGACATAAGGAAGACCAGTATAGGCTTAGATCTGACCAGTAGCACTGATTTAAAATAATAATAACGAATTATACTAGAGATATGAAGTTTGGATAATTTTCCACGGCACACCTGACTGGGCTAGGGTATGGCAACTGCCATACTCTGCCATACGGAAACGCCGCCCCTGTGTTGTTTGTATACAATATTCAAAATCGTTACTTCTTTAAATATGAATTAGAGATTACATGATGTCCATTCCAAAAGGAGTAGTAGACCATTCATATTTGCAAATATTTGTATTGTAAATATGATCAGTTATCACCAATACATGAAAGATTTAGCAACTGTTTCCTGTTTGGTTATTAAAACAGTCATGGATGGATATTATATTTTTTAACATGGCATATTCACAACTCTGAAGTGGCATATGGTTATTGGCATTTTGCAGGCTTTCAAATAAATAAATAAATAATCTGGAATGAAATATGCCATTTGTCTAAGATATCAGCTCCACCTAGTGGAATTATTGTGCACAATAAATATATAATATAAATGAATATATGTAAAGGTCAAAAGTAGTTGTGTGGTTAAAAGTTTCTATATAGAAAATATATGAATCTCATAAAAAAAGGCATGATGCATTCTTTAAAAAATACAATTTCTTCTTCTCTCTCTTCTTAGTATCCAGATCTTAAAGGGACCGTATCTTACTACATCTTGTGAGTGGTTAGGAGTTGGTTGAGTGATTTTGAGTGTTTCCTGTGAGGTTAATGTTAATTTTGCTGTTAGCTAGTTCAGATCAGTTGTAATACTTTCAAATGAAAAAAAAAATTGCAATGTGTTTTTTTTTTTTTTATATTAAATTACATTTTATTTTGATGGTGTAGCACCATTTTGGAGAGTATCCGCTGGAAGTAAACAGCATATGCTGTTCTGTGTCAGCTGCGTCACACGGATACTCTGTTTTCGTTCAGATCAAATCATAACAACGTAGGAAACAGATCTGGCGTGATGCAGCTAAAATGATGTGTCCCGTATCAAATCAATACGGGACACAATTTGTCCCGTATTTTACAAATTATTTAGACAAAAATGGGACAAATAATTAATAGATTATAGGCCTATTTTATGTTATACCCTATTTATTAATTTATCATTTATATTAATCATAAATATATACATAATAAATAATCATATGTCATTTGGCATTTTAAAGAGTTAAAAAAAAGATACATTATTTAGACAAAAATGGGACAAATAATTACATAATAATGTAGTCCTAATTTAAGCAAATGAATAAAAAAATTATAAAAATGCATCCCATCCTGGTAGCAGCAGCAGAACTGTCAAAAAAGAGGCATTTTAAAAAGTAAAAAAAAAAAAGCTAAATTATTTAGACAAAAATGGGACAAATAATTACATAATAATGTAGTCCTAATTTAAGCAAATGAATAAAAAAATTATAAAAATGCATCCCATCCTGGTAGCAGCAGCAGAACTGTCAAAAAAGACTAATAATAATTAATAATTATAAATAAACAAATTTAAAATAACAATAATATAATTGTAATAAAAGTATTCTGTTGCAACTTTACATAGCCTACTTCAGCATGTTTTCTCACGGTTTACTGTTGAGCTATGAGTTCCTCACTAATTATTTGTGTCCTTGGTGGGGTTTTTTTGGGTTTTTTTTTTGGGGGGGGGTGTCATGAGTGGGTGTCCCTTATTTTGCATTGCTGAGGGTGGCAACCCTATATATATACACTGTAAAAAAAATTCCGTCAAAGGAAAAAAATTACAAAAAGCATCCCCTCTGTGAAACCACCAATCCCCCCTAACCATCCCCATTAGATTAATAATGTTGTGTATTATGTCAAACTTATTGTGCAAATTAAATGTTAAAATTCTCTACTTATGATAATTCACGAACTATATAACGGAGATTGGCCAATCAGAACTCAGTACTGTAACAAGCTGCGCACAAGCTTAAGCAAGTTTCCGTCATTTTTCGAGCAAAATGGTTCAAGCACAACTTTTCATGATGGCACCCATTTATCCATTCCCCAAGCCACTTGAATATTATATAAATTTTACATAACAAAGTATGTCACAGCATTCCTTGTCTTTCATTATGTTTATACCATTTAGTATAGTAAGTTAATAATGGTTGTGTTTATTGTGGCTTCCAATTTGTTTTATTGTGCAATATTTTATATTTCAAGCATGTTGCACTGAAAGTAATTAAAAATGCAGCTAAATAGTTTATAATTGTTATATAATTATAACTTACAATTAAAATATAATAATTCAACTGAAAACTTTTTTACATATAAATGTTCAAGCAATATGCACACTATCATTGTAAGACATTTATACATTTTTCAAAATACATTTCAAATAATCTTTACAGAAAGGCATACTGTTGTGTCTATATGGTCAAAAACACCCTCACTGTTTTGATAGTTGGTGCTAAATGCTTTAGTCTTCATAAGTCACTTTCTAAATCTATTCTATTAAATCTCTTAGGTGCCCAACAGAATGATATACAGGTTGTGGACAAGTTCATGTAATACAAAGATCATTTGCCTCTGAAACCATACAATTTATTCAACAGTGTATTATTAAACAGACGACCTGTGCATAAATTGCAAAGTTTAAATCAATGTAAAAATGTACGTTTGTCAATAGATATCTTAACATCATTTTTAACATATTTTTAGCATACTATGCCAAGCATGCAAATTTAAGTCTTTCATTAGTAATGAGTGATAATATGAGTGATAATTGTTTTGTTGAAGTTTCCTTATTACCATTAAACTGTTTGTTTGTTTAATTAACTGTGTTCTGACTTAATTGTACATTTTTGTTTGCACTGAAACAGCTCATAATATTAATTGAATTTATATAATCATTGGAGAATGAGTAAATAAAGGTGAAGCGTCATGCCTCTCTCTCATAGCCATGGGAAACCTTTTTTGCAAAATTAAGGGAATGTTCCTGGTTAAATATGAGTTCAACACTATTAACATTTAGCATTCTGACTCCTTTTTGACTCAAATGGGAAGATTGGGTGATATTTTGGTCTGTTTTTCACACAAAGCCAAAACATGACTTAGGTTAGTCTACCAGATGGAAATATTACAGTATATGTAAGAATATATGTAAGAATATATGGCCCTGCATGTTTTATCGGCATTTAAGATATGTTTTTGGGGATTCCATTAGTTATAATTAGTTAACTACATTATTTAACATGAACTAATATATATATATTAAAAAAAAAAAAAAAATGTCTAAAGGATAATTAAATGGTTGCTAGTCTCCACTGACTTCCATTGTATTTGTATTTTCCATATTATGGAAGTCAAAGGGGACCAGCAGTTTTCTTGAAAATATCTTCTTGTGTGTTCAGCAGAAGAAGAAGGAAAAAAAAACTCATACAGGTTTGGAACAACTTGAGGGTGAGTAAATAATGACCGTTTTCATTTTTTGGGTGAACTATCCCTTTAAGTGTGCAGATCCTTACATACTGTATATTGCCATAATATCACTTGCGTAATTTCCAGAATAGTTTTTGTTTTCACCTAAATCAAATGTTATGAGGATATTCCCATTTCTGATCAACTTTTGCTTTATTAGTGTAATAGTAAATTCACACATACTGCAGAGTAGGAGTAGGAAGTGTTTTTGCAGGAGTCTCAACTGACTCCATACTGCTCATGTTTCTATCACAGACCAAGCTGAGCTAAAACTCTTTCATGAGACATTTCACTATTTTTAAACAACTTTGCAGTTCCTCAGTTTCCTCTTTTTTAGCTTATATGCATCTTGATGCAAGTAACAGAATTTGCTGCTGCATTTGGTTTCAGGAATTTGGTTTCTTTTCTGAGTGAACTTCAGTATCTATTAGGAAGTCAATGCAGCAGCAGTGATTTTGAGTTCTGTTTCTTTTTAAGTTTTTAATTCATGACAATGGCAATAAATCACAGACTCAGAATTCTTCTTTGTCTTCTAACATTCAAAACAGGTAAAACACATGTTCATTAAAATATGTAATATTATATAATATGTATGTAACAAGAAATGCAACAAAACAACCATATATTATTTTCTTTTCGTATGCTGTCTGCATTAAAACTAATATTAATAACAAAAATGTGAGACAATCAGTTTGAAACAGAGTACATAGTATAAGTCTGAAGGAGAATCGTTCCTACCTATTGTTTATTTGTGTAAGCAGAGACAAATGGCTCCAGATATGTGCATTATAGCATTACAATTTTTTTTATGCTAATAGCATAATAAAACTACTGGTGAATTCACTTGGCCTCTAGTACACATTTTTCCGAAATGGGCATTTTTCTCTCTCCTCAGGGTTCAGTGCTGAGATCTCTGTGGTTGTGCAAACAGGAAATTCTGTTCAACTGCATATACAGACACGAGAACTACCAGAGTTTGATGATTTATCCTGGAAAAATGATAAATCAGAGATTATAGTTAGATATACAAGTGAAACTAAAAGAGTAAGACTTCACTCTTCCTACAAGGACAGAGTGGATTTCAATGATACAACCTTCTCTCTGACACTGAAGAACATGCAGAAGACAGACAGTGGACTCTACACAGCAAGAGCAAGTGGAGAATCAGACAACAATATTGTTACATACAGAGTATCTGTTATAGGTGAGTGTAATTTTGTTTGCTGTGTTCAGGTCAAAAGACATTCTGTGCAATGCTATAAAGGATAGGTAGTAAAATAAAATGTTTATGTATTTAAAAAGAAGATACAATTGTTAATTATATATAAATGTGTTTTTTTTTGTCATAAATTTATGTGCAAAGTTTTAGTCACGCACATGCAGTCATGATGTACATTCCATAAACAGCTAGGATATTGGAATATGATATTCTACAATAGTGTCAGAATATATTATTTTCCATTTTAAACACAAGGTTGCTTCTTTTATAGTTGATTATTGGATGTATCTTTGTGTTACATTTAAAAACAAATGTGTGTGTTTCAGATGCTGTGGAGGCTCCTGTCCTGACAGTGAACTCAAACTGGCTCAGCGGTAACTTCTGTACTGTGAACTTCACATGCAGAGCTCATGAGCTCATGATTACCTCTAGCTATCAGAACAACAGATGCTCTCCAGAGGAAGTGACATCACATGAGAACTACACTCTCATCCTGGACTGCAGTGAGGAATCCATCTTCTGTAACCATAGCAACCCTGTCAGCTGGAATGAAGACAAAATAAACATCAAAGAACTCTGCATTAATGAAGGTATCTGACCAAACACATAGAGATACTCAATCATTCATAGTGCAAATCAACATCTCAAATCAAATAGCTCATTTTGGTTTAATAAATCTAGTCTAACTGCTCAACTGAACTGACAACTGTGGTTCTTAATGACATATGTCTTATTTTCTAGAGAATGACAATTACCAGATTGAGTCATCTATCCTGTGGCCAGTAGTTGGTTCAGTGGCAGTGTGCATTTTGATATGTCTTTCAGTCTTTCTGTACTTCAAGTATAAAAAAGGTATGTCCATGTTGCCTCACATACATTCTCTATGAAAAACTGATCTCTGTTCATCAGTTTGATCAATTAAATACTTTACTTCTTTTGTAAAGTAATGAAAAAGAATAATGAAAACAGATTTATGCTATTTTTTTCTCTTTCAGTCAATTGTAATACTGTAGAATGTGTTCTTCCACATTTAATAGTTCTTGTCTTTACTGAATATCCTCTTATCAGATAATTTAAACATCCCAAGTAACCTACTAGAAAAGATATTTAAGAACTCATCTTAAACTACAGTACAGTACAGTTACATTACATTACAGTGGAGTACATTTCTACTTTTTCCAGTTAAGTGCTTATTTTTTAGTTCCCATATTCACTTCGACACAACACAACCTGTTCAGATTTAAATGTCACAACGTTTTGCACATAACTACGATGAGGACAGAAACATATTTGTTCTTTGCTGGTGCCAAAAAATAATTCAAGAATATTCACAAAAGAAGTAAAAGCAGAACAAATGCAATACAAAGGATTTGTCAGACTCTGTTCCGTGTCTTTGTGTGTTTCCTTCCCCCACATGCTCCATGTTATGTTTATTTCCTAATTTGGTCTTCCTGTTCCTGTCCTGATTGTGTTATCATTTATTCCAGGTGTTCCCCGTTCTGTTCCATTGTTCCCAGGGGTGTCCCATTAGTTTCAGTGTATTTAAAGTATTTTCTGCCCCTCGTTTCCCGTCGGGTGATGATCGTCAATCACTCTGTCCTACGTATGATTCCTGTGGTGTCAATGTCAATAAAGACTGTGTTTCCTGATTCTCCAGCGTTCTCCTCGTTCCTCGCTCCTTGTTCCTCGCTCCTCACCGTAGGCGCAACATGACAGAATACCGGACCAAGACGGCGCCCCTTCTCCTCGTGTTTGTTTTTCATTTTTAAAAAGTGTTTTTGTTTTCCTGTTTGTTTTTCCCCGCGACGATGGAAATAGCCGCTCGGTTCATCGCCCTAGCCCACAGAGATCTCCCCTTCGTGGAGTATGCGTGGGAGTTCAGCAAGATCACCGCAAATACAGTGCTGGACGACGCCACGCTCAACTATTTTCTGTTTTTTGAAAAGGTTTTTGTTTCCTGTTTGTTTCTCGCCGTGGCGATGAAAATAGCCACTCGGTTCATCGCCCTAGCCCACAGAGATCTCCCCTTCGTGGAGTATGCGTGGGAGTTCAGCAAGAGGGAAGGGATCCTCCGGTGTCTGGAGAGCGTCCAACCCCGGTCCAGAACCAGCCCGCCGGCCGCGCCGATGTTTAGCCCGCCAGCCGCAGCATTCTCAAGCCCACCGCTGACCCAAGCCCGCCGGCCGCCCTATTAACCCGTAATCAGAAAAGGAGGAAGAGGAGAAATGGACTGCTCAGGGCCCCTTTCCTTGCCCAAGTGCGCCTAGCCCCAGAGCTTGCTCCAGAGTCGGCTCCAGCCCCAGAGCTTGCTCCAGTGTCGGCTCCAGCCCCTGTGCTCGCTCCCGTGTCGGCTCCAGCCCCCGAGGTTTATGCTCAAGTTGAGGTAAGCTTCAAATTACTGTTCATCATTAAGCTCGCAGACACCATGGTAATGCTCTCATGCTGTGTAGTTCTTTTTAATCATGTTAAACATCAAAATAATTTTGGGAGGATATATCATATACATCCATTTCTGTAATAATTGGTTATTTGTATGTATTCATGTTTTGGTTTCAGTAACACAAAGCTTCCATCTACAAATCAGTGGTTCCCAATTTATTCAAACATATATCAAATGTAAACATATCATCTAAACAAAAGGACATTATTCTTAAAAGAACCGTTTTTTTTCTCAGTGTGATGAACAACTTATTAATCTAAAGAACGTTTTTTTTCCACTTCAAAAAACCTTTAGCACAATGCACAGGTTGTGTCGATGTTAAAGGATGAAACTATAGACGCCAATAAAGAAAGAAGAAAGCATTTAGACACATTTGTTATGTCCCAGGACATATTATTATATATTTGTTGTGCGTTACATCTGTGGATGAAACTGTTGATGTACCTGGGTAACTGCAGTGTTTTTGTACTTTTGTTTTCTTGCTTGCTCCCTGTTCCGCCATGGCACCCCGAACTGCCTGCTCCGCCATGGCTTCCCGAGCTCCCTGCTATGCCAGGGCCCCTGAGCTCCCTGTGCCGCCATGGCACCCTAGACTGCCTGATCTGCCCTGGAGGTATTCCCCGTGTCCCAGTCCTGCACCAGCCTCAGCGCGCCCACCCGACATTATTCTTAAAAGAACAATTTTTTTTCTCAGTGTGATGAACAACTTATTAATCTAAAGAACGTTTTTTTTTCCACTTCAAAAAACTTTTAGCACAATGCACAGGTTGTGTCGATATTAAAGGATGAAACCATAGACGCCAATAAAGAAAGAAGAAAGCATTTAGACACATTTGTTATGTCCCAGGACATATTATTATATATTTGTTGTGCGTTACATCTGTGGATGAAACTGTTGATGTACCTGGGTAACTGCAGTGTTTTTGTACTTTTGTTTTCTTGCTTGATTTCCTTGTTCTTTCTCAATTTCACAAACAATTAAAAAGGAACGGCAAATAACTTAAAATTAAGCATGAAAATCTGAAGTAGAAAAAACAAAATAGTATATATATATATATTTTTAAACGTTCTCCAATAATCTATATTTACAACTCAGTGAGGGATTAAAAAAAACACTTTCTCGATGCATTTCATTAGGCTATTTAGTTTACTCAATCTGTGTATGTGACCTTAAACGTTTTAATGCATGTGTGTTTCAGATGCAGTGGAAGCTCCAGTCCTGATTGTAAACTCAAACTGGTCCAGTCCTGAACCCTGTAGCTTAACATGAAATGGAAGTAACATTACCGTCAGCTTAGTAGCAGCTGTTCTCAAGAAGACGTCAACATCCTCTGATAATCACACTCTAAGACTGAGCTGCAGTTGTGACTCCATCATATGTAACTACAGCAACCCAGTGAGCTGGAAGACTGACACAGAGAAGGTTAATAAACTCTGCACTGTTAATCTAAGTACATAATGTATCCGCTCTGACCTGTAAATACACTCACAGATGAAGAAACAGAAAATAAATAAGAGAAAGTAAGTAACCACTGGACTGAGAGTGAGTAAACACTGGGAAAGCTGATCATTGTTTGTCTTATCTTTCATATCCACAAATACTGCAAGCTTGAGAAGCATCTCTGCATCTCTTCTGCCTATTGATAAAGTTTGTTGTTAGTGGTCTGTTTCTGTTTCTACAAGAAATAAGTTGATTCTGAGATTCTAAGTGGCTTTTTGTTTTCCTCTCCTGAATTTTTCTAAACTCATAACATTCTAAATCAATATTCAAACAATTAATATTATATTAAGGTGTGCATTCTATGATAACATCTACTTGTGTAGTTACAGCCCATCAAGCAACATTAGAGCGCCCCCTCAGGCTGAATTACGCAGAGACACTAGACCTCTGCCTCACCTACATTTATGGTCAGGACCCGCAGAACTTTCCACTCCCCTCAGCGTGTTTATGGGATTATGGTTTGACACTGATTTGCCCGGTTTGGTCCATTTGGCCCTTGATGTCTTGCATTCATTACATTAGATAACAGAACATCAAAGTGCCATTTATTTAAAAGAAAGATAGCACTACCACACTTTTAATTATATTTTAGGGGAATGAATGAAGTGATAAAATGTTCAGTACCTTCAATGCAAAGTAAGCTGCTTTGAATAAAAGCATCTGCCAAATGCATTAATGTAAATATACTGTTCAAAATATAAAACAAAATGCTGTGGCACATGTGATTGTGAAAACCTTAGCGGAAATGAGGGCAACTGACTGACACCCAACCACCAAAACAACCTACACTAATTAAATTTGGGTTTTTTTTAAAGCCCAAAAAAGTGAAGTTAGTTCTGAGAAAAGATCGATCATCTTTAATTGTAGATGACATTTGGTCTGACATTGTGTATTTTGTGTGGTTTAAGTATGCAGGTATATGGCGATAACATACCTCGTGTTTAGTTTCCAGAGTAGTTTCTGTTTTCATCTAAATAAGGTTATGAGGATATTCCCATTCCTCATCCTTCATTCATTCTGATCAACTTTTGTTTCATTAGTGAAGTGGTAAACTCACATACTGCTGAGTAGGAGTAGGAAGTGTTTTTGCTGGAGTCTCAACTGACTGAGCACCGGAAAGTTTGGTTCTTTTTTTTAATGTTTATGTTTCCGCCACAGACTGAGCTAGCTAAATCTGATTCTTATGACATCTCACTGTTTCCAAGCAACAGAGGTTTCTCTTTGTAGCCTTTTGTCATTTGTGGTTCTGTATGCGCCTTGATATCAGTGTCAAAATGTGCAGTGTGTATGAGAAAAGATCGATCATCTTTAATTGTAGATGACATTTGGTCTGACATTGTGTATTTTGTGTGGTTTAAGTATGCAGGTATATGGCGATAACATACCACGTGTTTAGTTTCCAGAGTAGTTTCTGTTTTCATCTAAATAAGGTTATGAGGATATTCCCATTCCTCATCCTTCATTCATTCTGATCAACTTTTGTTTCATTAGTGAAGTGGTAAACTCACATACTGCTGAGTAGGAGTAGGAAGTGTTTTTGCTGGAGTCTCAACTGACTGAGCACCGGAAAGTTTGGTTCTTTTTTTTTATGCTTATGTTTCCGCCACAGACTGAGCTAGCTAAATCTGATTCTTATGACATCTCACTGTTTCCAAGCAACAGAGGTTTCTCTTTGTAGCCTTTTGTCATTTGTGGTTCTGTATGCGCCTTGATATCAGTGTCAAAATGTGCAGTGTGTCAGTGTGTAAAAAGTGTCAGAAAGTGTATTTTGCTGAATTCAGAAGTGATTTATTCCAGCGCTGTTGCTGTGAGAATGGAAGGATGTGGTGCAAAGTTGAAGTGTGAAGCTGTTGTATGCAAACCTTAAGTTTAAGTCTTTCTTTAAAAGTTGTGTAAAAGTTAATTAAACACCTTTTGATTGATGTGGTACAGTAGCTACATGCAAACACCCACACATTAATAATGAGATATGGAGATGTTTATTGAAATGTGTTTCTACACTTGAGTTTCCATTATTTTGTCTTTTTAGGTTTATTGCTCTTGTTTTATTTCTGATTAAAAGCTAGAACCTCTGAGGTTCAGCGGGAACTTGTTTTTTTTTTAATCATCAGTGTGGCACTGAACTTCCGTATCTACTAGGAAGTCAATGTGGCGGCAGTCATTTTGAGTTCTGTTTCTTTTTAAGTTTTTAATCTTTTTAATTTAGGAGAATGTCAGTAAATCACCTACTCTTATTACTTTTTTTTCTTCTGACCTCCAAAACAGGTAAAAAAAAAAAGTGTTTATTATACAAATGATTGATTTTTAATGGTTATTGTGACAGTGAGGACAGATATCACTGAGCATTTACTGGAATACTCTCTATAGGATACTGTATACAATAATTTAGTCTACTCTCAGTTTTTGATGATTCTCAGTTGTTAATTTGTAAATATTCTGAAACATACTCATACACACTGTAGTCTTTTAAGTTATTTTGAAATTGATAATTTTTTAAGTTACTAAAACAGCTGTTTCAAATCTTGATTTTTACTTTCTATTTTTATAAAGGCGCCAGTGCTAATATCTGTTAGTATTTTTGTTAGAGTACTGAGATGACCTTTTCCTAATGTGACAGTAGTTTCTCATACCTTTTATTTTCACCTCAGTGGCAAGCAGAATACAAAAAAAAATTTCATTATTAATCGTAGGTGTGGTGAGTTTTGTGCAAGTGTGTGATGGTCATAATCAAACTTTTTGGCAGTTCTGATCACAAAACTCACCATTAAAGTAATATCATAAAGCATGTATTTACAGCATAGCTGCTTACTGAGACATATCTCAGTGTATCTTGTAAACAGGAAATGTGAAGAGTCTCATCATATCAGTAATACAACATTAACTTATATTATCATAATCCTTTGTAATCAGTAGAACCATTTTATTTTAACAGCTAATTTTACAACTTCTTACCATATGTTGGTGGATTGTAGTTTCCAATAAACGACAACAGCTGCTCTCCAGAGGAAGTGACATTACAGCAAAACTACACTCTCATCCTGTTCTGCAGTGAGGAAACCATCATCTGTAACCATAGCAACCCTGTTAGCTGGAAAGAAAAGAGAATAAATATTACACAGCTTTGTGTTAATAATGGTATCTGGCCAAATACACACACAAACAATGCACATTAGCTCACAAATCAATTATTGTATATTAGTTTGTTTACTAAGTCTAACTGCTGAACTGTAGTGTGAACTCTGAAAACCTGATCTGTCAGCTGTATTTCTTATTGATATATGTCTCTTTTTCCAGAGACTGAGACTATGAAGACTGATTCATTTCTCCTGTGGTCAGTTGGTTTGGTGCCAGTGTGCATTTTGATAATATGTATTATAGTCTTTATGTACTGCAAGGCAAAACTACATTATTTAACAGAAGGCAATATTTGACTTTGCATCGGAGAAAGAATTCAGACATTTCAGCTATAAACAGAAGAGGTTACTGCTGCTTATTTTTGTAATAAAATTTTCAGCAGAAAAGAAAACACTGACATGTCCAATCCTGAATGAATCCTTCTGCAACTAAAAACAATCTGAATTCAATAAATTTTACTTTTTGGCACCAGCAAAGGTGATCACTTTGTTCATCTCACTAATGTTATATGAGTCATGCAGGTTCATTGAAAATAAATAATAACAAATTAAATAGTAGTTGTTAAAAAACAATGAAGTATTACACTGTAGTATTTCAAATAACAAAAACAAAGTAGTAAATAAAACTGACTTCAGTAAAAAGTCATTTTTGATAAATACAGCAGATGTTTAATAATTCAGCATGCACAGCTTCTTTGTGTGGCCTTTGTTTTTAAAGAGTGTATGCACATACTAGCTATTGCTCCTTGAACATTATAAATTACGTTTTTTGTTTACTAATTTCAGGCTCAGGAAATGCAGAAAATCAACAGCGACTGCAATACATACGATATTCCAGACCGGGTGAGAATAAAGTAGTTAAAAGGCTATGATTTCATAAAATGCTTGTTGTACAGGTGCATCTCAATAAATTAGAATGTCGTGGAAAAGTTCATTTATTTCAGTAATTCAACTCAAATTGTGAAACTCGTGTATTAAATAAATTATATGCACACAGACTGAAGTAGTTTAAGTCTTTGGTTCTTTTAATTGGGATAACTTTGGCTCACATTTCACAAAAACCCACCAATTCATCCAACCATCTCAACAAATTAGAATACTTCATAAGACCAATAAAAAAAACATTTTTAGTGAATTGTTGGCCTTCTGGAAAGTATGTTCATTTACTGTACATGTACTCAATACTTGGTTGGGCCTCCTTTTGCATGAAGTACTGCATCAGTGCGGCGTGGCATGGAGACAATCAGCCTGTGGCACTGCTGAGGTGGTATGGAAGCCCAGGATTCTTTGACAGTGGCCTTCAGCTCATCTTGAATTGATTTAATACACGAGTTTCACAATTTGAGTTGAATTACTGAAATAAATGAACTTTTCCACGACATTCTAATTTATTGAGATGCACCTGTATATACTTGAGGGTTGTGAATGTTTTATTAAATCATTTAGTTTAGTACTTGTTCAGCTAAACATGCAGTTATATTTGGACACTGACACAATTTTCACAATTTCGGCTCTGTATGCCACCAGAACAGAATTAAAAATAAAACAATCAAGATGAAATTGAAGTGCAAGATGAAACAACATAAAATGCTTAGGAATTACAACCATTTTTATACACAGTCCTCCCATTTTCAGAAGTTCAAATGTAAGTTGACAAATAAATATAATCATAAATAAAGTCTACATTTTTATATATTTTGTTGAGAATCCTTTGCAGGCAATGACTGCCTTAAGTCTGGAACTCATGGACATCACCAGGCCTTTACTGCAACTGACTTCAGTTGTTGTTTGTGGGACTTTCTGCCTTTAGTTTTGTCTTCAGCAAGTGAAATGCATCCTCAATCGGGTTGAGATCAGGAGATTGACTTGGCCATTGCAGAACAATCCACTTTTTTACCTTCAAAAACTCCTGGGTTGCTTTTGCTGTAGGTTTTGGTTCATTGTCCATTTGTACTATGAAGCGCCATCCAATCAACTTTGCTGCATTTGACTGAATCTGGGCAGAAGTCCCTATACACTTCAGAATTCCTCTGGCTGCTTCTGTCCTCTGTCACATCATCACTAAACACCAGTAACCCAGTGCCATTGGAAGCCATGCATGCTCATGCCATCACAATGCTCCACCGTGTTTCACAGATGATGTTGTATGCTTTGGATCATGAGCTGTTCCAAGCCTTCTCCATACTTTTTTCTTCCCATCATTCTGGTACAGGTTTATCTTAATTTCAGCCATCCAACGAATGCTTTTGCAGAAGTGGTCTGGCTTTTTTAGATGATTTTTTTGGGGTAAAGTCTAATCTGGCCTTGTTTGCACCTTGTGGCGAACCCTCTGTATTTGCACTTGTAAAGTCTTCTCTTGATTGTAGACTTTGACAGTGACATGTCTACCTCCCGGAGAGTGTTCTTCACTTGGCTGGATGTTGTGAAAGGGTTTTTCTTCACCATGGAGAGGATTCTCTGATCATCCAGCGCTGTTGTCCTCTGTGGACGTCCAGGCCTTTTTATGTTGCTGAGCTCACCAGTGAATTAATTTTTTTCTCAGAATGTACCGAACTGTTGATTTGGCCACTCTGAATGTTCCTGCTATCTCTCTGGTGGATTTGTTTTGTTTTTGGAGCCTAACAATTGTCTGTTTCACTTGCATGGAGAGCTCCTTTGACTGCATGATGTGGGTTCAGAGCAACAGCTTCCAAATGCAAATGGCACACTTAGAATCAACTCCAGGCATTTTACCTGCTTAACTGATAGAAATAATGAAAGAATAGCCCACGCCTGTCCATGAAACAGCTTTTGAGTCAATTGTCCAATTACTTATGGTCCCTTGAAAAAGAGGAGAGGTACATATTAAAGAGCTGTAATTCTTTACATTGGAATTCTTTCCTCCAATGTTGATGAGAATACCCTCAAATTAAAGCTCAGAGTGTGCACTTTAAACCCACATAACTATACCATGAATATGTTCTGGTCAGCAGCTAAAATAATAAAAATTGTGTCATGTTCTGTTTTGATTTTGAATTCCCTGTGTTTCTGTTTCCTGACTTAGTTCCTCATTAGTTTCCATGGTTTTTGATTAATTAGCTCCACCTGTTTCAGTTCTCCCTGATTACTTTTCTAGTACTTAAGTCCTGTGTTCTCCCTGGTCTTTTTTCTGCCATTGTTTGTGTCTACGTGTTGTGCTACCCCTTGCTCCTGGATTCCTGCTGTTTCTTGTGTGGCTGTATTATTAAGAGACTTTTTTTTTATTACTCGTGGGCTTTTACTAGCACAGTACCGTTACATATATATGGACCTAATTGTAATTGTTCAGGAATGCATTTTAAAAATACTATTTTGACATATATTCCATTAGGTTCAAGCCCAGACAGAAGATGAAACTGGAGATAATCGACCCAACACAACCTACTGCACAGTAGGACAATACCAAGAACAAAAAATCCCCCCTGAAACAGAGAAAACTATTTATTCAGTGGTGAACAAAAAACCAAACCAGAAACCACCTGCCATTTCATCTGATGACACTTAAAAAAAGTTGTGGCTATTTGTCACATGAGGAAGTTGTCACAAGGCCTGATCTCAAAATGGTATACTACCCTTACTATCTCTGCCATATCTTTATATGGTAGAAATAATGGTTTCTCTAGCATTGGTTTAGCATCCAGATCCAAAGTGTTATGAGTGTGAATTCTATTCTTTAATGTGATTTTGTACACAGAATATATAACTTCCAAAAATAACCACACAGTGAGAAATATTAAAGGGGTCATATGATGCGATTTCAAGTTTGCCTTTCTCTTTGGAGTGTTACAAGCTGATTGTGCATAGATAAGATCCCTGAAGTTACAAAGACTAAAGTCTCAAAACCAAAGAGAAATTCTTTATAAAAGTTAAGACTTCTTTAAAAAAGCATCATATGACCCCTTATTAACTGAAGTAAACTGTGTGACAACTAACCCCGATCTGCCCCACATGATAATCAGTAGTTTAAATCAGTAGATTAATATAATATTAACCTTACCTTCCATGTTATATTTAACAATTATGCAAACTAGTGCAGAATGCAAATCCAGTACAACTTTAGGTATATTACTTATACCTACAGCCAAATACGTTTTAGTACATTTTGATAGCCACTAGGTGGAGATATTGTATCACATTTCTGGCCATACCTTTTCAGTTAAATTGAGTGGGATCTTTTCTACAATTGGAATAACTGCTCTTATGGGCTTATGGTCTAAATAAATAAGTATTATTTTATTATGAAACTTTCGTATTTTATTTAAGCCTTTAACACACTTCAATAAACTGCAGATTTCCCTAAATATAGCTTTATTTCAGTGTTATTTTCCCTTACAGGTAGGGCTATGGTTCGTTTATTTATTTCAGAGTTTTGAAGTATGTCTATGCAAAGCTGTGATCTCATGGACCACTTGAAGTAAATTCCATGTAGATGTTATGAAACGCTACATTGAATCTTTTTTTAACTGGTTCTTAAACAAGTTTGCAGAAGAGAGTTGTGCCTACCCTTACCAAAAAGTAGTATACTTCAAGTTTATTTTATTAAGTATACGGTACTTAAAGTTCAAGTATATTTTTAAGTATACTTTATGCAGCAAGTATACAAATATCAGTGTACTATTTCAGTACTCCTTGGGACTAAATTGGCCCACTTTCTAGTATATAAAAGTATACTTTTAAGTATAACAGTAGTAAACTTTAAGTACACAACTAGTTTACAAGGGTATCTGCTTGTAAACAAAAACATTTTTTTCTAGCTTCATGCATTCTTTTTTTAAACACTTGAATGTGGATAATAAAAAATAAAGAAATAAACAACATTTTGAACAAAAAGCTGAAAAAAGACTATGAATTGGATTCAGAATGATAATCAAAACGTAGATAGAGTCGATCAACACCCCAAAGCTTGACAGTCATTATCCCCTCTTCATTGGTCGACATTTTATTCCATAATGTTACATAGTTTTGATACTGTTTTATGTCTGATGATCATGTTAGAATACATGTGGAAGGATTTGTTGTTTCGGTTTCTTCTTCACTTGTGTTTTTTGGAAATTCTGTACAGAAGATGTGTACTAGCGCCCCCTACAGTATAACAATGAAAACACAGATTCTAGGAGCACAATTATAGATAAAATATATTTAGACTTTTTCTAAGTAGGCTATAAGTCAAGTATACTTAAATGTCATTTTAAGTATATTTCTGAGAAGTACATAAAGCCCATTTCTGAGACGTACATAACAAGTAGACTAAAAGTATACTTTCCTATTTTTTTGTTTAAAAGAAGTAGCTATACTAATAGCACACTTGAATAAACGTATTTTTCGTAAGGGTACTTCCAATAGGGCCTACTACCCTTGTGTGATTGTTAGTAGTCTGCCGTTTATTTGGAAAATACGCTTAGGAGAAAATAGTTTTATCTCTTTTAATTATTAAAATCCCACAAATAAAAACAAAATGCCATTTATAGCCAATAGCACGTTTTAAAACCAGTGTTTATGGATTCAGAAATTGCTTTGGAGATGTTTAAAAAAATGTTGCTTAATTTTTATTAAAATCTCTGGACTATAAAATAATCAACAAGTCCTTTCGGCATCTATCCAAACACCTTCATCAGGTAAATATATCCACAAAAGTCACATGATCAACAGACTACTAGGTTAAACGTGTAATATATGCCAGAGTAAATGGTGTTACTGCTTTGGAAAGAACATTGTATACATACATGCTCGCAACAAGACACAAGCAAGTCCGTTCAATTTATTGCTTAATGCACTCCCATAAATTGTAAAGTGTACGCTGTTATTCAAATGTGCTGGTATTATAGTCTATTTTTGATATAATTGTTAACAGTGTATTTTCTGTAGGCCTATTATCTACATTTAAAACATATTGTATATAGACAAAAATGTGCAAAATTGTAACATTTGTATCTAATGTTTTGAGTAAACAATATTTTTATTTCTTATTACTTTATTTTTTCATGAACTCAAAGGAATCCTGTATTACAGGTGGGTTTGAGCTGCTATTGTCATTAATAAAAGTGTTACATTCAATTAATATTGTCTTAAATTAGTTTAGAGAGAGAGTGTGTGTGTGTGTGTGTGTGTGTGTGTTGAAAATCATTCATCTACTTACCAAAAGACATTTAACTTAATGGGAAATTTTTTTTGAAACAGTCATGTTTTTGTTTTTTTTAACTGAAATCAGGAAGTCAGATTTACCCTTCTGCAGCCATGTTTTCTACAATAGGGCAATCCACTGCTAAAAATAGCATCATACAACTGCATTGTGGTATGTGTTTGCCATTTTAGAAAGGACAACTCTTCATCAACTCCCACCAGGTGTCAAAATGTTAGCAGCATAAAGGTGCACTACTATAGGGTTCATATTTAAAATAATGGTTGATGTCTATAATGGTGTATATCTACAGTATAAACTAGTTGCTTATAAGTAATGTGAAAATATTTAGGTCTGTTATGTTAGTTTGTGAATGAACATTGAAGCTGCTCATTGTTAGCATATTTATAAACTGCTGGACAGGTTATGATTTTGAAGTGCGCACACACATTATGTGCATTTGGGGTCCTTAACAGTGGGGGATGAAAAGTGATTGTGAACAGAAAGTGTGTAAGTGAGACTAAGGGTAAACAGTAAAGTGAAAGAAGACCCTTGATGACTTGAAAAGAAAGAGAATTATCAGAATGAACTATAGACAATTAAACTAATTTTACATGCTTTAGGAAAAGATATAAATACTGGAACAAAGACAATGTTCATGTATAGTAAAATATGCCAATAACTATTTTGTTTGGCTTTGTTATTTTGCTCTTGGCCATCTTTGTGACTTTTTAAGGGGGAATTTCTTCTCACATGAGCTCAAAAGATACAAGGTGTTTAGTCATATCATGGTTCTCTTACAGTCATAATGTTTGACGTGAACTAATGCTAGAGCTATAAGCGGAAATAGCACATAGGCTGTTTCTACTTGTGGTTTTATGACTGAAACCTCTCCGTGTTTAACTTACTCGACTGAAAGACAGAAAAAAAATGTGCTTGCTGTGATGGCGTTTAGGTTGTTCCTTTCATTTGCTCTTCTTACTTTCAACACAGGTATAAAATCAAATCATTTTACTATGATAAATTAATCTGTGATTAAATGTTTTTCTTCCCGTGGCAATAAGTGAAAGGCAGTTTTAAAATTTGCTTTAAAGTTAAATGTTTTATTCTTAACATTGTCTTTTTGACATATTGATCAAGTCTTTTGTTCAAGGAATTGTTTTGTTTTCACTTCAGAAATGTAATGTTGCCAGGATTTTACAAGATATCATTATGATTGATTTGTTACAATAACATCCTGTATTCAGTATTTTGTCAAAAAAGGATGACTTAAGGTAAAATAACCACATTACACTGCATTGTGGGAATACCCATCAGTCCTTGTATATATGTGTATTTTGATGTCATTATTATGGTGCTTAGTGTTACAGAGAATTTGAACCTTATTTGGTCTTAATTAAATTTCATCCAGGCAGTAATAGGGTTTAACTGACTTTTTTATTTCGTAATTCATGATTAATCGCATCCAAAATAAAAGGTTTTATGTACATAATATATGTGTGTACTACTGTGTATATTTATTATGTGTATATATAAAGACACACACATACAGTATATATTTAGAAAATATTTACATGTATTTACGCGTATATATTCATATAATTTATATTATATACTGTATCAATATATTTAATTAATTAACATAACATATTTTTCTTAAATATATACATGCGAAAATAATGTGTTTTTTAAACCTTAAACCGCATTAAACACATTTCATTACACCAAATACACAAAATAATGTTCTTTTTAGCAGCATCATATGACCCCTTTAAAGTATAACACACTGCAATCATATTTTCTACAATTTCTCTCTGTTTGGAAATATTGTTTAAAACAAAGATCAACAAATGAAATTACATATAAAAGCATATATTCTCTGGACGCCAGATATAATGAGGCAATAAATGTATAAAATTTACAATACAGAAAACGGAACAATATAGGAGCAAGGATTATGAGCAATACATTAATTCAAATTAATGTAATCATCAATAATATCATGAATAATTCAAAGATAAAACAAAATAAAATAAAATCACTTGCATTTGGAAAAAATCCACCCCTTCACCTTGTCATCCAAAGAACAATAAAATTAATTTTAAAAGAGAGACTTTGATGAATCCTCATCCAGCTGTCTCCCTCCGGTGCACTTCTAGTTTTTAGTCTGTAGATCAGTCTGGAAACAAAGGCCTTAAAAAGAAAGAGCATGAAGAAAACATTGTCATCAGAGAAAGATGACCTTCTCTTCGTCTCGTGATTTAAACAGCAGATTATTTTCATATTTCTAACACGAAAAGGATATAATATGACCAAACACATACTAATGAATTATCACACACATATAGAAAACTATACATTTAAAGCAACAAAATATTTAAATATATTACTAAAATGACCTATTAGCTAAAAATCACGTCAAATGACCTAAATGTGTAAACTTTACCTTCGTAAAGCCTGCACAAAAAAGCCCTGCTTGTTCACATGAATCTTCACCCGCTGGTCTGTGCACTGTTTCGATGATTTATTGCATCTGAACCTTTATAAGAAACCATGCAAACACAAAGTAACTACTGAATTCTTCACAACTGGAGCATTTCATATGTTACAAATTCAGTCATACTACTATGATAGATGATAGATTTCAGTAATATTAAATATTATAGTGTTTTGGTAAATGGTCCCCCCACCCCCCACTTTACTAGGATCAGTGTTTTAAAATGAGAAATGTGTGTTGATTAACAAGTACAAACCCTTGTACAGTCAGTGTGCAGCCAGGCCTTGGGTGTGACTTCCTGAAGACACTTTCTGCTTCCTCCAATAAACTGTCAGCTTCTAAGCTACAGTATAAACAACATTTTGCAATCTGTATATGGTATGGTATACTTCGCTTAGTTTCAGTTTATCTGAACACTTCTGTCACCACAATGTAGTAAATGAGGGCAAAAGTACAGCTGAAAGTGCTTTGTAAAGGCAAAGCCAGTCTCAGCCTTGGATGCTCAATAGACTGTAATCAGTCTGGAATTACATGAAGAAACATACAGCAATTGAGACTAAGGCCTAAATCCACAGAATAGAACCTTCCATGGTCTGTCTCTTACCTGATTTCTCTTAGACTGGGATAGTCCCATGTGAAGTAGAGGACTGAATTAGCCCAGGCCTTTGTCAGGCTACTCAAATTCAGTTCCAACTTCTGTGCAGAGAAGGAACGCAGAAGAAACAGTAGTGTATCTGTGCCCGATTTTAAAAGTGTTTGAAAAAATTCTATCCAGTCGATGCTGACAAGCACTGAGCGTGGAAAAGACAGGCTGATTTGTATGAAATCTTTTTCTTCAGGATAACTGGTTATTCTTGATATTGCAATTCTAAAATTAAATGACAGACAAATACAGTATCAACTTAAGCCACAGAGACACATTATACAATTTAACCATGTTGTTGTTAAAGACCATATTATAGTCTGGAAACCACAATTCATGACAAATCTGAGACTGCTGGAAACAGTTACAGTTGATATGACAAAGATATGACAAAACAGAAATACTTAAACACTTAAAAAGTTGAATGTTATGTTAATTTTAGTGTTACATGTAGTATTTTTTTTTTTAGGTGTATTGAAGCATTTACTAACAGAATTCAGTTTTGACAAACCCAGATGACAAACCCAACTTTTTTCTTTTCTTATTTATTTATTTATTGCATTATTTACTTTATAGAGTTGCTTTATATTTGAAGCTCATTAATTATAAATTTAATTAATGGATCCTGATGAAAGAAGTTTATAACACTGATACGGTTCTTCAATTGTCTGATCTTCAATTGTTTACTATACGGTAAGCCTGCTTTGAAGCCATTTCGTAAAAGGCACTTTATGAAAGAGATTGATTGGCTTTGTAGCCAGAATGTTAATTTTGCTTCAAAAATTCCTCATCAAAAGCTGAGTATTTTGGTACATTTCGCTCTTGGTCAATTGTTGCAAGTTTTAGATCATGGAGAATGTACATGTCAGATATTATAGATGTGAGGTTTTAGTCAAATTGATCAACGTGCCTGTGTAAAGATGAAAAAAAACCTATTGAACTGGTTAATGTAACTGGTAAAAAATAAATAAATAAATTAAGATAATGAATCTGTTTAAGATACATGTTGGGTAAATGTGAATGCTTCACCTGGACAGTTCTTCACGGATTTCCAGATAAAAGGTTTTAACAACCCAATAAATGATTTCCACACTGCAAATAAAAGCATAAAAAATTGAATGAATAGCAATGACCTCATTTGAGTCAGTATTATCTTAAAAACCTTACCTCTGTGAGCTCAGGGTCTGTTCTCTCATTAAAACGTTCATCATGCCTCCCAAATCAGAATCTGACAATTCATGTGCATGAAACCTACAATATAAACTCCAAAATATCACTATACAAATCTAACACCAATAATCCAAAATAATTATTTCATAAGTAAATAATGAATTTCAAATAATGAATAATAATATAATAAAAAATTCAACAATCTCAAAATACTTCAAAATGATCAATTTTAATGTATTTCATAAAACAGACTGAGAAATGCAGCTTTATCTTTAAACATTTCCTGGAGTCTGCATTGCATAGCATTGTCTGCCCTCCACAGTTTGGTTGCTTGGAGACATGTTTGTTGGCAATGCGCAACTTCAAGGATAACAGTTGTATTGCCATGTTGTTTCCTTCAGGATTATGCATCATTCGGTGTTCTAATTCAATTCCAAAATTTGAATTTAGGCAGTGTTTGAATTGTGTCAAAGCTCTTGGGGGGTTTCAAAGATTCATTTTTCCAAACCCCTCCTTTGCGTGACGCTAATCTGCAGTGATTGGTCTGATTGGTATAATTTTTTTTCATCATGCCTGTAATCAGGGCCGTTGCTGGGGTTTGCGGGGCCCCAGTGCAGGTTGTACCAGTGGGCCCTGTTTGAAATTGTTTAATTTGTATGTTCGTTCCATTTATTTATTTGTGCTATTTACACAGTGTTTAAGTTTTTTCAAGTGTGTAGGTGTCCAGGTACAGAAACCGAATAATCAAATGTAAAATAGCACTGCATAGTCTTCACTGTAAAAATTAAATATACAGTCAAACCAAAATTTATTCAGACACCTTCAACATTTCTCACATTATCACAGTTTATTTGCTATAGTTTAGAAAATGGTAATAAAATATGAC